GGGATTATCGGCTCATAGGGTTTGTCAAACTGAACCAATTCACCTTATCACCAATGATGTGGATTTATATATATTTTTTCCTTATGGTCATGCTACTTTGGTTTCTATTATTAAAATATTTGATGAATGAATTCCTTCAAACATACAAGGTAGAAATAATAACAATCCTACACAAACTCTTTCAGAAAATATAGAAGGAAGAAGCACTTTCCAGATCCTATTGTGAGGCCACTATATCCTGATGCCAAAACTAGATGAGGACATTTCAAGGAAAGAAAATGACAGGTGTATATCCCTTGTGAACTTAGGTGTAAGAAACCTTAGCAAATTAAATCTAGCAAAATGTAATGTAATAAAAAGAGTGAGGTACTGCTATTTCTGGATGTATTAATTTTTAGACATTTTTAGACATTATCTACAGACTATTCTGATAGATGAGGATTTAGCTCTCTTACACCATTATTTCCTCTGCTTCCCCTTCTCCCCCCAAATAGTTACATTAAAATTTTATTAATTCAGCATTCACTGTTCCCACTATTGTGCCTGTAAGTATTACTTATAGCTGAGCATTTTACCATACTAGGGTTTCTTTTCGTATTTTTTCTGCAAATTATATTTGCCTTGCTTTTTAAATTTTCCACTCTTTTTAATAGTCTCTCAGCATACTTTTCCACAGGATAATCACATCAGGTAATCCATTAGTTCACTTTTTTGCCCCCTTGGTGATATCCTGCCTTTAGACCCCCATTCTCCATCTGTTTGGCTTGCTGTTCTCCAAGCCCGCTGACCAGCTGTCCTCCTGGGACTTCCCTTTGCTGTCATCCTTTGAATCCCCTCTTGGAATTTCTCTATGGTTTGATTCACCACTTCCTGGATCTCCGGTCTTCCTCTTTCTGGGTTTGCTTACTTAGTGTGGCCAAGGATCTCTGTCTCCAATTGGCTAAAATGATGGTACAGTCACACAGAAATCTAGACCACAGACATTTCTAATGATACCCCCTTACTCCTCCTTGGAGCCAAACACTTGGGAAGCTTTTACGTTCCTGGGGGTGAAACAAAGTCCTCAAAGCAGGCAGGAGGAGTGCCGTGAGGTCACACTGGTGGAGGACCCAGGAGTGCACTTCTGCACCTCTTCCCACGAGTGGAAGATGGATTCCATTCCACCCTCCCTGGAGGGAGTACCTCTGTCAAGTTGGACCACAGCTCAGTGGGGTCCAGAGGGACAGCTGTAGCTCTCACCTGCTGTCACCATGTCTTGTCTTGTACTTTTATTTTCCCAAAGATACTATAAGCTGCCTGAGGGTGAGATGATGTCTTATTATATTTAGATTGAGCTTCAGTGTCGTTCTAGTTAGGTTTTAGGAAAGAG